GGCCTTCGGTGGAGCTCTCTCTATGAGGCCACGAACCGTGTGAGGGTGTGCCAATATGGGCATGCGGTGGGCGGGGAGGGCGCATGCGGACGTGGCCACTGCGGCCTTCGGTGGAGCTCTCTATGGGGCCACGCGCCGTGTGAGGGGTGTGCCAAAATAGGCCTGCGGTGAGTGGGGAGGACGCATGCGGATGCGGCCGCTGGGGACTTCGGCGGAGCTCCCTATGGGGCCACGAACCGTGTGAGGGGTGTGCTAGAATGGACATGCGGTGGGCACGGAGGGCGCATGCGGACGCGGCCACTGGGGCCTTCGGTGGAGCTCCCGATGGGGCACATCTACGGCGAATCACTGCCGCCCGCCTCCGCCTGCTTTGAAGAAGCGCCTTTGCGGCCAAACGTTGGGCCCCAGCTTGGCTGAGCTATCGGGTTGCGTACTGCCCCAGCCACCAAAAGGGCACCAAGACGACCCGAGAGGCGTCCAAAACTGCCCAAGAGGGCCCCAATACGGCCCCCAAAGGGGCCCCAAATCCAAAGCTTCCGCCCCAGGAGGCCGTAAGAGGCACCCAGGAGGCCCCACGAGGCCCCCAAAAGTTCTCCAAGAGGCCCCCAGGAGGCCCCCAAGAGGCCCAAAAGAGGCCCCAGAAGGCCTCAAAACAAGAGGCGTCCAAACTGCCTCCAGGAGACCCCCGAGAGGCACCCCACGAGATCCCAACGAACATCCAATAGGCGTCATACCCACAACCCAGGCACGGTGGCGGAATGGGCCGAAGGTCGTTACTCACATATACCTACCTATACGACCAACCTTCGGGTGATAGGGAGGTTCGGGGGGGAGGAACCAACGTCGCACTCGATCGGTCTCACTGTCGATCTCACTATCGATATCACTATCGGTCTCGCTCGATCGATCTCACTCGATCGATCTCACAATCGATCCCACTCGATCTATTTCATTCGATCGATCTCACAATCGCTCTGACTATCCATCTTGCAATCGATGTCACTATCGATCTCACTATCGATCTCACAATCAATCTCACATTCGTTCTCACTATCGATCTCACTATCGATGTCACTATCGATCTCACAATCGACGTCATCATCACCATCATCAACAACACCATCGCCATCAACGTCATCATCATCATCACCATCGGGACACCATCATCATCACATCATCACCATCATCATCAACATCAGCATCACCATCATCATCATCATCGGGACGCCATCATCATCACCATCATCATCAACATCCTCATCATCGGGACACCATCATATTTTCATCATCGGAACACCATCATCGTCATCACATCATCATCATGAACAACAGCATCACCATCAGCATCATCGGAACACCAGCATCATCATCATCAACATCATCATCATCATCAACGTCGTCATCATCGGGACACCATCATCATCGCCACCATCTTCATCATCACCATCATCATCATCGGGACACAATCATCATCAACCTCAGCATCATCATCATCACCATCATCGGGCCACCATCACCAAATTCATCATCAAGACGCCATCATCATCCTCATCATAAACATCATCACCATCGGGACACCATCATCGTCATCATCATCGGGACATCATCATCATCAGTAACATCAGCATCATCATCACCATCATCGGGCCACGATCATCAAAATCATAACCACCATCTCATCACCATCCTCATCATCAACATCATCACCATCGGGACACCATCATCATCACCATCATCATTAACAGCATCATCATCAACCTCATCATCACCATCATCGGGACACCATCATCATCACCTTCATCATCATCATCATCCTCATCTCATCATCATCTCATCATTCTCAACATCATCAGCATCATCAGCATCATCACCTTCGGAACACCATCATCATGATCATCACCAGCAACATCATCACCATCAACATCATCATCGTCGACACACCATGATCATCACCATCACCATCATAATCACAAACATCATCATCACCGGGACACCATCATCATGTTGTCGGATATGGACCAACCCGTGTGCATGCACATGTACATATACATGTACAGTTACACATACATATGCACATATATTTACACAGGCTACACATGTGTGTAATCATATGCGTATACATCATGCGTGCATACACACATACACGTACACATGCATATTCATACGCACATACACAAACATATGCATATACAAATACACACATGCACACATACATACAGTTGTGCATGTACATATACAAATGCATATACATATGCATATACATGGACACAATCAGATATACATATATACATATACATATGTATATATGTATATGTACAGATATATACCAGCTTCGTCCTTCTCCTCAAGCCACCTTTCTGCTAGTTGCAACGACAAGCTTCGTCTTTTTCTGAGCTTGTTCATTGCTGTCCTCTCCTCCCCTCCCCCTCTTCGTCTCTGCCCTCAACCCCCCTAGCCGCCAGCGACACTAGCGACTCTCGGCTGCAAGGCATCAGCGCGCCTTCGACAAACACTGGTCGATGAACATGTCCTGAGGCAAGCATGGCTCCTCCTCCTCCTCCTCCAACTACTCCTCCTCCTCCTCCTCCTCCTCCAACTCCTCCTCCTCCTCCTCCTCCTCCTCCTTCCCCCTCCTCCTCTTGCCAGCACGCGTGGGGGCAATGGCACTGAAAACACAACATCTGCACCCCTATTATGCCTCTAAGGCCGCGGGACACTTGGGTGCAGCAGGTGGGGAAAGAAGAGAAAGATCAGACTTCGCCAACCTAACAGTCCGAAGGCGTGCTGGAATCTCCGGCACGACGTTCTGCTGATAATTTGTGGATTGCTATTTCGGGCGTGCGTGGCGGCCCATGGGGGTCTCCAGAGGATAGGGAAATAAAGACGCACCTGTGTACATAGTTTTATTTGTTAACGCTCACACACACCAACAAAACCAATCGGGCATGTCGGGGGGGCTGAGCATCGGAGCGATCTTTGCAATTTACGAGGAAGCCTCAGGCGAGAGCACGAGTCCTGAGTGAATTGCACGGAAGGGTCGTGCGAGAGCGCGATTCCAGGGCGTTGTAGGCGAGGCGCCCCAAGACATTGCACTGAAGTCCTGAGCTGGAGCGCGATCCCCGAGCAACTTGACATGAAGTCCTGTGCGAGAGCGCGATGTTGAATAAGTTGCTAAGACATATCAAGCGGGAACCGTCCTCCTTCCCTTTCTTCTGCATTCCCCTCCTCCTCGCTCTCTCGCTGTTTCACTATTCTGTTCTTCCCGCGAGAGGGACTGCGAAGCTTTCAAGAACTCCCAAGGGCCCATGACGACCCCAAAGAGCCCCAAGACGGCTCCAAAAGGGTCCAAGAAGGCTCCACGTCGCCGACAGACCGCCCCAAGACGCCCAAGATGGCCTTGAGACGGTCCACGTGGCCACCAAGACGCCCCAAGAGGGCTTCGAGAGGCCTTCCAAGAAGGCCCCGAAAGGCACACATCGTCCCATTCCTATGGCAAATCGCATATTTCTAGCATGTGCGATGTTTAAAGATTTTGAGCGTTCACGTCGGCCCTAGGGGCGCCCAGATCGCCCGAATATGAATCCAGAGGACCTCAATACGGCCCAAAAGCACCCAAAGACAGCCCAAGAGGCGCCCAAGACGGCCGAAGACGGCGCCAAGAGGGACCCAGAGGGGTCGCCCAAGATCCCTCCGACGTCAACGGATCCAGGGCCCAAAGACGACTCACGAGAGCCCCCACAAAGCCCCCAAGACAGTCCGAAAGAGCTCCGAGTCAGCGACAGATCGCTCCAAGACGCCAACATAGCCGCAAGACGGCCCACGAAGCCCCGAAGACGCCAGAAGAGAGCCTCCAGAGGCTTTCCAAAACGGCCCCACGAAGCACAATGCGTCCCATTCCTTGGGGAAAACGTGCATTTTGAGAGTGTGCGACTTTGGGGCCCTCAGAGTGTCCACGACGAGCCTACAAGCCCCCGAGATCGCCCCAAGATCGCCTCAGAGACCCCGAAGAGGGCCCCAAGACGTGCCAAGACGGCCCAAAGACGGCCCAAGACGCGCCGAAGCCGGCCCATGATGGCCCCAAGAGGGCCCTTGAGCCAGAACTCGCAATGATATTTCCAACTGTCTGTCCAAACGGACCTCCCAGACCGCCAGCAGGCCTCCAAGAAGCCTTCGAGAGGCCCAGCAGAGGCCCCAAGAGGCCCCCAAACGGCGCCCAAGAGCCCCCAAAGAGGCAGAGACTACCGACCAGATGCGTCAAACTCCCAGGGAGCGGCTGGTGATGCGCCGCCGGCGTTCTCGATATACCCCCAAAAAGAGATACGACCAAAGATGAAGAGGGCGGGTATCGACGGCTTGTGAGCCAAATGTTGGATGACACGCGAGCAGATGAGAGTGAACAACACGAAACGTATTGTTGCTGTTGTCGTTGAACCTCTTATTGACCCCCCCCGGCGACTATTGTTTGTTCAGTTGAGGTGCCCATCTCGGGGCTCGCACCCATTTTTCCCGAACGAACATCTTGCGCCTCAGACTGGGTTGCTGGCGCCCGGTTTGCACCAACAGCGGCTGCCGCTTGAAACTTCTTTACAATTTATTCAGAAATCGCGCTCTCGCGCAGAACGTCCTTACAATTCACCCGAGAATCGCGCTCTCGCGTGAGACTTCCTCGCTATCTATTCAAACGCCACGCCCCCGACACTCAAGAAACACGCTCCTGCTTTGGGCTTCCCCACGATTTATTTGGGAATCGTGCTATCACTCGAGACCTCCTTGCGATCATGCAATACTCACGCTTCGGCGCACCGCCTGCTCGACCCGGCCGTCTGGGCCCGCCCCGTCCCGCCCGTGAGGATCCGCCCGCCCGACCCGCCCGTCGAGTCCTGCCGTTTGTCCTCCTTCTCCTAACCCCCTTCCTGCTGATCTTCCTCGTGCTACATCTCTCTCTCTCTCTCCCCCTTGCCCCTTCCCTCCTCCCTCACTTTTCTTTGCCTTCGGGGCTGCGCCAATTACACGTGGCAGATAAGCAAGAGACCCCCCCCAGGGGGGTATGATCGAAGACGACGAGGGCAAGGATGGATGGCTTGGGACCCACATGTTGACTGGACCGCGGGCGCGTAAGAGCGAAACGTTTTAAACAGATTCTTGGTTTAACTAACAGTTATTGATGACCCCCCCCCCTCCGGTGCACCCTGTGTTTTTTCCATTGAAGTGCCTCTCCTCGGGCTCGTACGAGTTGTTTTTGCACATTGCCTTACTGGCCCCTGGTTTACTACTACAACAACAACAACAGCGGCGACCGCCTAATACTTCATCACAATGTACTCACAATCATGCTTACGCGCGGCGGGACTTCCTCGCATTTTACGCAGGAATCGCGCCTTCGCTGGGTAGCTCCTCGCACTATATTGAAGCGCCGCGCCCTCAACACTCAGGAAGCACGTTCGAGAATTCCACGCGATTCATGCAGGGGTGACGCTTCAGCGACCCGCCCGCTCGACCCCGCCGTCTAGGCCCGCCCGCCCGACCCGCCCGTTATGGTCCATCCGTCCGACCCGCCCGTAGAATCCTGCCGCTAGTTCTCCTGCTCCTGACACGCTTCTTGGAAATCTATCACGTGCTCAATCGTGTTCTCTCCCCCTTGTCTCTTCCCTCCTCTCTTCCCCTGTTTTGGGGGCTGCGTCGACTACACGTGGCAGGTGAAGAAGATGTACCCCCAAGGGGGTATGATCGAAGACGAAAGGGGGCGGGCATCGAGGGTTTGGGATACACATGGTGAATGGTACGCAAGCAGGTAAGAACAAACAGTCTTAACATAAGGGATCATGTTGTAGAGATCTCTTTTTTACAAAACGTTGTTATTGTTGATCCCCCCCTCTGGTGCACCCTGCAGTTTCGATTGAAGCGTGCCCCTCCCAGGGCTCACACCCAGATTTTTTACAAGGGAACGAATTACGCCTCAGACTTCGCTGTCGGACCCCAGTTTGCAACAACTGCCCAACACTTCATCACACTGTGTTCACAATCGCACTCTCGCGCGGGACTTCCTCACACTTTATGTAGGAATCGTGTTCTCGCCTGGGATTCCCGCTCAAAAATTCTCTAACGCCGCGCCTACGACCCTGAGGAGTTAGGCTCTCGCTTTGTTGGGAATCGCGGTATCGCTAGAGACTTTCCTCGCGAATCCATCTCCTTTGAAATTGAAGTTCACGCTCAAGCGTTTCTTAGATACGCCGCAAACTGGCCCCCCCAGAACAACAACGCTCCCGTGCGATACTTCATAACAATTTGCTCCGAGAGGCCTGGCCAAAGAGGGCCCGAACCTCAAGAAGGGCGCTCTCGCCAGAGACCTCGCAATTCAGCACCGCAAGAGGGTCCTTCAGAACAATATGGCCCCTACTTGCTGATGCCAGAACAGCCGTCTCGCCTGATACGTACTCGCAATTTAGCATCACAAGGGTGTCCTTCATAACCAGGTTGCTGCTACTCGCGGATGCGAGAACGGCCTCTTCGCAATGCTGCACCACAGAAAGGGGTCCTTCAAAACATTATTGCTGCTACGAACAATCTTGCTGCAACTCGCGGATGCCAGAACGGCCGTTTGGCCGGAAGCTTCCTCGCAATTCAGCAGCACAAGCTAATTCGTCAGAGCAGTCTTGCTAATTGCGGAGGCCGAAAGAAGCCCCAGGACGCTCCAGGGATGTGTGTTTGGGGAATGTTGTTCAGCCCTCTCGCCCCCAAGAGTGCCCAGCAGGAGGCATCTTCTATATGAGGATTGGTGTTCGGTGAGCACTTTTCGGCCCCCCCCCGCCTCCAGGAGGCACCAGGAGGCCCCAAGAGACCCCAGAAGGCACTATTCCGGATTGGGATATGTGTTCGGGGACTGCTTTTCGGCCCCCATAGGCCATAGGCTCTGCCCCCAGAGGCTTCGCCTCCAACGCCCCTGGGGATCGAATCCTTTGTGTGTTTACGTATGTTCGTATGGATTGCCCTTTTCCTGGGGTTCGAATCATTTGCGTTTTACCTATGTTCCTACATGTGGCGCCTTCCACTGGGGCTCGAACCCTTTGTGTGTTGACTTGCGTTCCTATAGATTACCCCACGACTCGGGCTCGGATCCTTAGTGTTTTACGTCTGTTCCTATGTATTGCCCCATCTCATGGGGCTCGAACCCTTCGTGTTTCGAATCACCACCTGTCCCCAATGTCGCACTGATTGTCCATGCGCCTTGCGAACTGCAAGTGGAACAAGTACTTGTGCAGGATATCAAGGTGTAGGAAGATCGGCACCCTTGCATACAGTTTACCCAACAAAGGGATGGTATCATGATGGCTGCATGTGGCATATACAAGCATGGCACATGAGTAAACTGAATGTTGCTGCTGTTGTTGTTGAACTCACATTTCGACAAATGATTACGGTGGTGGATCGCCCAGCCTGGGCGCAGAGGAGGGCGAGCCGCGCCGCGCGCGCCGCGCCGCCGCCAGCGTCCTCGCCCCACAGGCAGTCCCCCGAGCAGAGCTCGTTGAAGTGCTCGACGCAGTGCTGGCTGCCCTGCCCCCGGCAGCCCCCCCCCCCCCCTGGGGGGCCCAAGAACATACACCACCACCACCTCCCTCATCCCCTCCCTCTCCCAGGAAAGAGGGGAGGAAGAGGAGGGTAGAGGAGGGAGGAGGAATCGACGTGGTGGTGGTGTACATGCTTAGCGCCCCCCCCCCCCCCTCCTGGAGGAAGAAACAGCTGCATGCACAACAACTTTCGGAGTTCCGCTCGGATTTCTCGGATCGGCGCTCGACCCCCTTGGCGCTCCGCGCGCCAGGGAAGGCGATCCAGTGCCGATCCCAGAAATCCGAGCGGAGCTCCGAAAATTTATGGGTGTGCTGTTTGTCCCAACCCTCCTGTGTTGGTCTCTCGCTTCAAATAAAACAAAACGGTCTCGACTCCGTCGCCCTCATCCTTCTCATCCTCCTCCTCATCCTCCTCCTCTTCCTCCCTGTGGAGGGCTGCTTCGTTTCAGTCCGATTCCCCAACCCTCCTGCATTGGGTTTTCGTTTTGAATAAAGCACTGTTCGCGCGTCTCATTGCTTCTTTTTGTTCTTCCTCCCTCCTTCTGCCTCCTCCTGCTCTTCCGCTGTGCCTCCCTCCGAGTACACCTCCTCGCGGCTATTAAAACCGGCATTCTTCACTTATTCTTTGGGAAAGCTGCGAAAAGTGGCACAAGGACGATAAACGCTCGGAAACGTTCGCGATTGGAAGCTTCAGGAGAGAAAAGAATGAAGGGTCGCTGAAGGCAGGATCGAAGAGGCAAACTCGCGCGGAAGAGCGAGAACGGGTCGGAACGGGGTGGGGGGATGGGGCAGGAGGGTGTCATGGGGGATCTCGCTGCGAGTGGGAGGCGGGGAGGGGGAGGGGGGGGGGGGGGGCAAGGTGGAAGGGGGATGGGGGGCGGGGCGTCGAAGGGAGGAGTAAGCAAGGGCTTCCAACTTCGCGCTTCGCGCTCAACGAAGTGCGAATAACTTCGCGCTCTCGCGCCGCCCCCCAAAAGGGAGAAAAGGAGGACGAGGAGGAGGGGGAGAAGGAACGAGGACCGCGAAGCGCGAACAACTTCGCGCCCTCGTGGGAGCCCTTGAGTAAGGATGGAGAGTGAGGGCGGGGCAGGAATCGGGGCCCAGGAACCGAAGAGCCGACGGCGGAGGATCCTCGACCTCGGCGCCGCGGCGCGCGGAGCGGCGCGGGGCCCGCTCGCGCGCCTGCGAGCTCGACCTCGCCCGACGTCGCCCTGCCGCGCGAGTTTGCCGCTTCGATCTTGCTCTTGGCGCCCACTCGCCAGCTTAATCTCCCGCTGCGTGTCCAAAGCTTTCGATCGCGAGCGTTTCCGAACGCTTATCGTCCTGGTGCTACTTTGTCACAGCCTTCCCCGCCGAGTCAGTGAAGGGTGCCGGTTTCGACACTCGCGGCGCCCATGAGGGCTGCGAACAGCGCAACCGTCGCTTCTTTCGCGTGCTCACGAGAGGTTCAACGGAATGGGTAGTCACACGGATCCCTGCGAGACCTCGCGGCTTCCTGGGGGTCTGCGAACTGGGCAATTGTCGCCACGATTGTGGGCTCCAGGGAGCTCCAGTGGAGTGGGTAGTCACGCGGACCCCTGCGAGGCCTCTAGGTTCCCTCGTGGGCATCGAGTGCGCAACCGTCGCCACGTTCGAGGGCTCCTGGGAGACCCAGCGGATCAGTCACGCGGGCCCCTGCGAGGCCTCGCGGCTCCACGCAGGCCTGCGAAATGCGCAACCGTCGCCACGTTGGAAGGTCCAGCGGAGTGGAGGGCCACCCAGATCGGGGCGAGACCTTACGGCCCCCTCGGGGGGGGGTCGAACTGCGCAACCGTCGCCACTTTCGTGGGCCCCTGCGCAGCACAATGGAATGGCGTCTTACGCTTAGCTCGGGCATGTCCTCCTACGGGCGGATGTTGGAAGACAACGTGAAGACATTAGACAATGCTCAAACAATGTTTAAACATACATTCAATTTCGTCTCCAGGCTACTTTGACGTATTCAGGAATACTCCTCGTGTAGAAGGGCATGTCCGACTTAACCCTACGCGCATCCAGACGAAACCTCGCGGCGCCCTCGGGGGCTGCGAACCGCGCAACCGTCGCCACTTTCGCATGCTCCTTGGAGGCTCGGCGGAATGGAGGGCCGAATACATCCCGACGAGACCTCGCGGCTCCCTGGGGGGCTGCGAACTGCGCAAGTGTCGAACACTTTCGTGGTTTCCTTCGTGTCCTTCAACATGTGATTATACTGATCGGTCCTGTGCATCGTCGCCACATGTGTAGAAGGGGCTGGGCAAGTTACAAAGTTATGTTTTTCATGCCGAGGTCTGGTCTTCGAAAGAAGACGTCTGCGGTCCAAACACGGCGGCCACAGGAGCGCGGGTCAAGGACACGAGCACCCTTAGCCGAAGGCCAGGTGCCTGGGCTCCTGGGAAGCACGGCGGAAAGGAGCCATACATGCATCCATACGAGCCTTCGCTGTTCCGTGACGTGGGTGTAGCGCGCGGCGCTGCTATTCGCACCAAGGTTAGACTGGGTCGATTATGGCAAAGGCGACCGCTCTGGAATCTCCAACGCAAATTCCCGCGAATTCCCGCGAATCCCCAATCTCCAAAAAATCGTCCGACGAGTCTCCAGAAAAAACTTCGCGTCTGAAAAATCGTCCGGCGAATATAAAAAAAACTTCGCTTCAAATCAATATCCATCAAAGTCTCCTCCAGAGATTCCCTTGATATTTTCCAAAGAATCCCCAGAGATATCTGCACGCCACATATGTTCGAGAGATTTGCTGGACAAATTCTTAGACTTCCTGCACGCCAGAGATTTTCTGGAGATTTCCCAGAGATTCCTGCATCGCCAAGATTTTCTGGAGATTCCTCCATACATTTGTAAAACCATACAGTTTTCTGGAGATATCCCCAGAGATTTGAACAGCCCGGAGATTGCGCGCAGATTGTGAGCATGACCAAATACAATGTGGAGATTTTCTGGGAGATTATCCATTGATAGTTCTTCTTCCCAGAAAGCACTGATCATTCCAGTCCCAACCGTTCTATCCAGTCCATGACACCCAGGCATTACCATCATCGTCGCGCCCTACACACATAGCCCATGGCAGCCATATACAGGGCCGCCAATTACCATCATCATGTATACAAGGCGCCCATATCTCACGGGCATGCGCCTTCCCAGGGGCGTGTACTCGCACGTAGATATACACATATATACATGCACACATGTAAGTGCGACGTATGCGCGTATGTATATGCACGTATGAGTATATTTATATGCCTCGATCCTCGGGAGGCTCGAGGAATATTCCTCGCGCCCAGGTGCCCAGCCAACCCGCCAAGATCGACGGCCGCCCATCGCGGCGAAATAAGACCGGGCTCGCTCGAATTCTGAGCCGAAAACGGAATTGGAAGTGCCGTGGGCCGACCTGGAGAACTTAGGACCAGATCTGAAAGAATCCCCAAGGAATCTCAACAAAACCTGGGGGGATTCCTTAGGGAATCCATGGGAATCTTCTTATTGAGGAATTAGGCTGCTATGAAATCCTACGGAATCCCTCGGGAATCCTGTGGATCTGAAGCCCTACCATGCAATCCTAAACAATCCCGAGGGAATCGTGTGGATCTGAAACCCTGAGATTCACTTGGAATGCCCTCTGAGGATCCCGTGCGGCCCCGGGCCCGGCCCGGTCCGGAAGGAACCCCTAGGGAATCTCAAGGAGGAAGAAGAAACCTGAGGGACTCCTTAGGAATCCGGAGGATTTCCCAGGCGGGAACCCTTCTTGGGTGGACCAGTGCTTTTGTAAGTACTTAACCGACCTACTAAATACTTAGCCGACTTGGAAGAGACCTGCTAAGTACTTAGCTAAGCCCCTTGCAAGTGACTTAGCAAGTGACTTAGCTAAGTACTTAGCTCGGCACTTAGAAGTGCCACCTAAGTACTTAGCTAAGTGCTTAGCTTGAAACTGGATTGTCATTTGCTCCATCAGCATTCCGCATGCCGGTACCAGATGGCACATGATAACCGAAAGATCAAATTAATGATTCACCCTTTGTCCCTAGCACCTCAATTCATTAATTAATTCTAGAAGGGGGGAAGGGGGGGGGGCGAGCGACATCCTTAGCACTCAAACTAGTTAATCCTATAATTCCTCCGTGGGGGTGCGGCGGTGGGAGCAAGATGAGTAAGACAGCACAATGGAGGCCTCAAGACTCCCGCAGACAACCCTGATACAAACAGTATACACTTTAGAACGCCACCTCCCCTCCCCAAAATAGGATACGCTCGAACATCATTGAACAACTTATGGGCGCTCTGTCGACGAGGCATCGATCGCACCTCGATGATCGATCGCACCTCCACCTCCCCCTGGCTCGGCCAGGGGGCGCACGTGCCGCCCCTGGGCCCGGGATGGGCCAACGCACCGCAAACCAGCGCCAGGCACTGCAGAGCAGCGCACAGCAGTGCAATACGATGCAGCGCAACGGGCAGCAGTGCAAAGCAGCGCAGGGCAACGCGAATCATGGCGGCGCAGTGCCGATGATGCCAACGCAGTGCAAGGCCAAGCAGTGCTAATCCTTGCAGAATAGCGCAGACCGATGCCCACCCATCAGTTTCAGGTTTTCCTGGGCGTTTGCCTGCCCACCTCCCCCACGCGGTTTCGATCTGCGACCGCTGATGTGGAATGCATGAATTTCTACTCCCTTGAGGTGTATACCACGACAGGAAATATCGCTCCCCCCGCCCTTACCCCCCCCCCCGCATCACCAGCGTCATGTAACACCTGTACTGGGCAACCGTGATAAGTTTAACTTGTTTATAGATAAGACAAGTGAAGACAGTTTCGCTTTGCGACGTCTTGCAAGGAATTCAACTCCTCCTGCTCCCCTGAGGCGTAGACCACGACGGGGAATATCGCCCCCCATGCAGACAATGATATTTTATCACACGTATTCCGAAATGCTTCCCCTGTCCCCGCCCTGTCTGGGCGGTAGAGAACGAGTAGTCTAGCAACAGTTGTAGGAATAAGTTTGTATATAATCTTAGACAAGGATTGAGGGCGCTTCCTTGGTGGAATCCTACAGGGGAATCCCACGGCGGAGTCCTACTGAGATCCGATCCTCTTGGGATCCTTTTGAACCCTACCAAAACCCGATTGGAAACCGATTGGGGTCTTACTTGGTTCATGTTGCAACCACATTGTGCTCTCAATGGAGTCCGACCGGGGTCTTGTCGGAGTCCTGTTCGGATCTTGGTGCGATCGTGCACTGAGGGGCCCGCGGGGGATTATCACTTCCAGGGGCGGGAAGCCATATAGTTCGCCGGAAAGGGTGGGGGTGGGGCGAAAGGGGGGTTCTTTAAATGCTTCCCGCAGTTCGGCTTGAGGTGTAACGCAATGTACTGCGTGGTATCGTCCATGGCCGAGTGGAGTTGGACCAGTCCGTTATTTTACATGCACCTCACCACCGAGGTCAGCTGCACACACCCGAAAACGTCGAATCGAAGAGTTCGAAAAGGTGGCGCCGAGGTGGTGCATGGCTGGTACAGACGCAACTGCTAATAACGACCACCTGAACCCGCAACCTTGCATGACGTGCCTGGATCTGCGGAACAACATGGTAACCACCAAATGTACCGTCGCCACCGCCGTGGCGAAAGCGTAGAGAGCACCAACAGCTTTCTGGAATGCCGTAGGCAAAGCGAGCTTCTGTAGGACCGCTGCTATGAACTGTTGACTAAGCGAGGCCTGGCCAAAATCCAGCCCGACCAGAAGTGGTGCATCATGTTGAACGACAGGCTGTAACCCATCACGGATATCTGCCATACCTATCTCCAGGATTTTCTCCGTGAAGGATCGTCCAGCGATGAACCCCGTTCTGGGACAGTGGGACCACTTCGCCACCACTGGTGCTATCGCACGGTTTAAAGTCGCACGTCGTATGCTCACGTCTGAGCTGCCCATCCCCAAGGTCCTGATTTCGTTAGCGCTTCAAGCCACGCCACTTACAGCTGAGCCATCCGCTTGGATGCCTGTAGGAGACGCCTTTGACGTGTATTCCCAGCTTCCCGAATACGAAATTGGTCCGACCGAATCCACTGGGACGCAGACCACATGGACTCGCAGCCGCACCGTAGAGCAGTTCAAACAAGGTATGGGATCCCATCGGCCCCAACAGCCGATCTCGACGGTGCCAGCGCATAAACAACCCAACGCCGCATCTCCTCGCTACGGAGCGGTATCGCCGGCCAGCCGCATGGGGAATTATGATCGTCTAGGTAAGAACGGCAAGCCTCAGCGTCGAAATGCACTGCCGTAGAAACAGGTGCTCAGTACTGAGTGAAAGCAGTGGGGATAAGGGAAGAGGAAGGAGGAAAAGGAGGAAAACGAGGAGTAGCATCAACATTAGCAGGAGCAGGAGGGCGGAAGGGGGCGGGGGGAGGGGTGAAGGGTGAGTGGCGAGGTCTGCCGATCTGCAAGCCTGCCGCAGCCTCGGGGTAGGGGCATGGACCGATGCGCTGGAAGCGCTGACACGAAGGCTGGCAGACGCCTCTGCGCCCGGCATGCACTGGACGCCCTGTCGGCAGATGCCCAGAGGAGGGATAAAGGGAGGAAGATGAGGAGCAGAAGATGACGAGGGAGAAGAGGGGGAAGGAGGAGGCACAAGGGGCGCCCTCTGAAACAACACGCCTGTGTGAGCTCGGTCGCCAACAACGATACGAACAGCATCGGTACACTCGTTGGATACAGCATTGCGCATCGAAGGTAAGGCACACTCACACACATAGGTTCTGTATCGGGCGGGCCCCGTCCGTCTTCTGCGTCCTGCTGCCCCAATCTCCTTCACCCACGCCAGCACCGCGTTGCGCGAAAACACCTCCAGAGGGCCGTGCATGCCCATCTTGCAGTTGTTGAGGTAAGTACCCTGCGAGGCCTTCGAACTCGCAAAGGCGACGTAAAAACTACATGGAGACACACTGATCAGACACGCGTTAAGCATCGACGATATCGGGCCCGCTGCGTCCGAGATGCCCTGGGACTGCAACTGCAGGCAGCGTAAGCTCTGCAATATGAGCTGCAGCGCTCGGTAAGGACCTCTGCTACACATATCACAGCACGTGTGAGAGAGCGTAAGGGTGTGTCTGTGTGTGTGTGCGCGTGCCCGTGCGTACGTAGTAAGACATGTCAGCAAAGACACCTGTTTCTGGAATGGCCTTGGACCCTGTTCCTCGTGCTCCTTCTACTCATCCTGATCCTCGTGCTTCTCCTTCTCCACCTGCTCTTCTTCCTCCTGCTGTTATTTCCTGAGGGCGCGGCGCTGCGGGGCCGCCTCCTTGTGCACCCAGAGACTCGCCCGCAAACGCGCGGGGAAGAAGACGCAGTCCGGGTCCACCTTTTACTGCGGTGAAAGTTCTGAGCTGACCAACTGATAAACCAATCAACCAGTCAACTGGTCAACCAATCATCGGGTCAGCTGGCCGGCCTGTCAGCCCGTCAATCTGTCAACTGGTCAACGGGTCAACTCGCCAGCCCGTCAGCCGGTCAGCCAATCAAATGGTGAACGGGTCAGCGGGTTGGCAAATCAGCCGATCAGCCGGTCAACCAGTCAACTAGTCAGGCGGTCAACGGCCGTCGGCCAAGTCTGATGGTCAGCCGTCTGCCCGTAAATCTGTCTGATGGACCGAGGGGTTCAAGGAAGAAACGCGCGGGAGCCAACAAGGGAGAGTGGAATCAAGAAGGAGAAATAGAGGGAGGGAGTGAGACAGAGAAGCAAGGTAGAGGCGAGGAAGGAGGGGGGAAGCAGGAGGATGAGGTGGAGGACAAGGTGGAGCAGGAGGAGACGGGCGGACGAGGAGGAGGAAGAGGAGGGGGATAAAAGGAGGAGACACAGAGGAGGACAAGAACAGAAGCAGGATATTAAGAAGAGTAAAAAGAAACAGCAGGAGGGGATGGAGAGCGGAAGACAAGGATAACGAGGAGGGGGTGGCACGCGAGCAACTTTTCAGCAGATTTGAAACTGGCGTCAGTAACGTCGCTGATTAGTGCCAGGGCTGGGGCAAGGTATGTCTTTAGATGTTTTAGTTTCGGGTTTGGGCTTGGCCGTGAGGATAGGGCTGGGGGTCAGGGTATCGAGATTTGGGATATACGGCTTTATGGTTAGGGGCGAGGCTTTCAGGATCAGGGTCAACTTTCAAAGTTAGGGTAGGGTTAGGGGTTAGGGATAACACTCTATGGTGAGGGTTAGGGTTCCACGGTTGGGGTTCGGGCTTTATTTAGGGTTCGAGGAATAGGGTTAGGACTTGGATTACGGTGAGGGATGTGTCAAACTTGCTTCGATTGCCGGCTTAGTGCTCGTATTTACGATTCAGGGCTTCAGGGCTGCATTGCTAGACTGCGGGGTATTAGTTCTAGGATGGAGGTTCAGTTTAGGATTAGAGTTGGGGCTGGGTTAAAGCTTGCGAATTTAAACCAGAATGGAGAAATTCACGGGTAGGACTCGGGTGATAGTTTGAGAGATGAAAATTTAAGGGGGTACCGTAGTTGCTAGACCACAAGAAACCTTCCACAAGAACCCAACCCTGATGCCCCATAACGCCACGCGTTCCATAGAAAAACCATCGAAGCCCAAGAAACCTAGGGCACCCTGGAGGCAAGCAGGGTGTTTCTTGGCATGGGTTTCCACTGTAGGACCAAGGGTTAGCCAACCAGTCAATCAATCAATCGGTCAACGAATGACTCGGTAAACTAATCATCTGGCCACTCGGTCGAACAACAATCTGGTAAACCCACCAACACGCCAACCGGTCAACTCATCAATCGGCCACGCGGTCGACAACTGGACAACTTGTCAACAAATCAAACGGTCAAACGGTCGACCGCCAGTCGGCTAACTGGACAACTGGTCTGCGCGGTCAGTTGGTCATCTGGTCAACCAGTCAACCGGCCAGCTGGTCAACATGTCCAAATGGCAATCAAATGCGCATGTAACTTGTAAACTTGTCAACTTGTCAGCTGGCCACTGGTCAACCGGCCAACGAGTCTGCGCGGTCAACCAGTCGACTGGCCAAGCGGTCAACTGGCTAGCCAGGCAGCCAGCCCGATCCGACTGTTTCACTACACCCACACCTTTACAGTCCAGTCGTGGAAGGAGAAGACGCCATCTTCGACGACCTTGCTCCAGACTGCCAAGAAGATGTCGAGGTTGAGAGCGGTCTTGAACTCGCCCCCTGTGGTGCAAGACAAATTGTGGTCGACGCGCGTGCTGTACACGCCAGGAGCAACCAGCAGGGTGGCGTTGGAGTACACGGCGTACGCGTCGCAACCGAAGATGCTCTCGCCCATGTCGTACTGTGCTGCGAGGAGCCCCTGCTCGTAGCTGTACGGCATCATCAGCGAGAAACAAAGCAAGGACTGGCCCACGGCCCGCTCTATCAGCGCCACCGTCTGCCGCGCCTGGGTGGGCTCCCCCGACGTGAAGGCGGCGTTCTTCACCCGGGTGAGCTGCCCGCGCGGGTGGCCGCCCTTGAGGAAGCAGCCGTCCGAGTACGCCTCGCCGCGCCTGCTGCCCCACGTCCAGGCGACGCAGTTCGGGTCGACCGTGCACTCTTGGCAGCAGGACTCGGCACTGGTGACGTTCAGGACTGACCTCAGATCGTTGCCTGGGTACTCGGTCTCATCCTTTGCCACGAAACGAAACGTGTCATGGACCCGGGTCGGCTTTTAGGCAGGTCCCGTTTTAGTCGGGCCACCGGGACCCTCCCAGAATCATTGGGGTCCGAAGGAGGTGAAAAACCGCCACCACCCCTTTTCCTCCAGGACCCCTTTTCTCCACCCTGACCCCAGCGTCATGATTTTGTCCGCAAGGTCCGTCACCGCACACGCTCTTGGGACCCTGGAGGCCCCAGTCGCCCGGAACATCCTCGGAAAACGACCCGAGCCCTAAAATCGCGCGGTCACCCCGAGTTCACACGTTCACACTGATTCACGACACGGCGAGGTCACCACGCTGTTGGGGGGCCCTCTAACCCCTGGTCCTGCACAAGGCCACACCTCGCCGGTGCTAGGGCGGGCGCGTACGGCGCAGGCGGCTGCTGCGGGAGAGCCACGGCCTCGACAGCCGCTCCAGCCGCGTAGCCGGCCGCCTCGGCGCTGGCGGCTGCCGCGCCAGGGGCCACCAGTGGCGGTGAGGTCGCCTCGCGGCCCAGGGGATCGAGATTCGAGGGTACGATTCCAAATATTGGTGGCCGATGTTGGCTTTCTCTGGCCTCGTCGCAGCTACTGCGAAATTCTGGCTAGAACGCACCACAGGAGGAGTCTGGGGACTCAACTTTTGACCCTCGGACACCAAAAGCCCCTCGCGGCCCAGATCTCCAACGTTGGGCGTCGCTTTATTGGGGGGCGATTAGTTGGGGGGGAGAAAGGTGCATTTTTCGAGCCTTACAGGCCTCCTATCGGACCCTCCCTCGGCGTCGGCCTCTGCGGCGCCCTGTCGGGCACTGGGGCTTTCAGACTGGAGTCATGGGCGGCACACTCGCCCCAGGGAGGGGGTCGGGACCTCTGGGGCCGAGCAACTGAATACACGCATTGTCAGATGTCTATGTTAATTCAGCATGCACGGGGGCTGGGAAAAAGGAGGAGGAGGAGGACAGGATGATGATGTTGACATTAAAACTGATGTTGTTGCTGATGAGGGTGATGATGGTGAACATGATGATGGTGATGATGATGACGATGTTGATGTTGATGATGATGATGATGCTGATCCTGGCGATCATGATGATGATGAAGTCTTTCCTCTGAGAATCGGGGTAAGATGTCAAAGGAATTAAAGTCTCATGTTGACTCTGCTCAGGGGTATAGGATACGGGATGAGACATCGATGAAACCACGAGTAAACCGATAAGCAACTGCACTCAAGTATAGGAAGGGAGGAGGTCCGGCCGGCCGACGACCGACGACGCGCGGCGGCCGAGGGTTGGCGCGCTCCTTTTCTCGCTTGAGTACAAGATAGCTGCGGGATGGTACCGCAGTGTCAAGGTGTGGCAAGGCAGGCAGCAGAAGAGGCAAGTGCAGAATGAGGCGGAGAGGAGCATATTTACTCCCCCCGCGGCGGGTTTTGTAGAGTCCAACCAGCCACAGCCCGCCTGGCCTGCACATATTTACAGCCACTGGAGCGAACCCCAAAAGTATGTTACCGCTCAACGGTGGTTGCCAGGGGGCTGAGGGCCGGAGAAACCCGACGAATCCCACCAATAGTTAAATACATTCTCTCTGCCGAAACGACTTTGTCGCTCGGCCTCGCCCGTGGCGACTTTGTCGCCCGGGCTTTGCCTGCTCTCACTTCTTGTGCTATAGGAATCGCCCCGACGGCGGAGACGGAGGTCTCGGATGTGAGGACGACGAACCTCCCGTCTGGTCAGCGGCCCAATAGGGCGAGGCTGATCTGCCGCCCTTGCCACGGCCAACGTAGGGAGCTGGCCTGTTGTACTTGTCCTTGTCCTTGCTCTTGTTCTTGGAGTATCCCTTTCCTTCCTTTCTCGGGAAGTAGTAAATGTAGTCGTTCAGAAACACAAGATGCCACGCGCGATCCCGGTTCTCTCTGGGATTCATCCGATATATCACGTCACGGTGAACCCAGTATCCATCCAGCTCATCATCCGCGTAGTGCGGGCAATGGATCGCGGGGTCGTAGTCGCCGGCCGCGCGCCCGGCAGCCATGGCGCCGCCGCGCGCGCGCGAGGGTCTAGACCAATCCCATGTGTCCCTGTCGGAAGAATACCACGAATACTCATATCCTGCCGCGCCGGTTTGACCGCCGGCAGAGCATGGAGACTCAGTGACGCCATCGTTGGCCCGATCGTCTTGGACGTCGGGTCTTCGAGGCGGAGGGGGCGGATCGGGGCGAACAGCTGGGCTGGGCCTCGCTTTCGCCATGGGGGTCCCTTCCGTATCGGCTTGGCCGTCGGAGGGCCCATCAGCGCCTCCCCTTTCACGAACACTCGTCACCCGTTGCTTTCTAGCATGTCTGATAATACCCCTTGCGGCGGTAGCGACAATAATACCAGACTTGCCACAGGCAGTGCGAAAGGAGCCTTCATCTTTGTCTTGGAGCTCGGTTGCTTCCACGCATGGATATAACCAGTGGGTAGCTCCTTGCAGCTTCATGCCCTGGCGACGGATATCGGCGCGACCCTGTCTGCCCAAGTCATGGGCCCATTCCTCAATGAGGTTATCTGTCTCGATCGCCGCACGAATGCGGCAATCAAGCGCATTTGCATCCGCCAGGCGCTTGTCATCATCGCACTCTGCGCCTGTGCCGCGAGCAAGAAAACTCGCCGAAGGGCGTGCAATATAATATCCCTCAGCAATGAAACAACTTATGAACTCACGAACAATCAATCACGCGAATGATGCGAAGACCCAACTCAAGGTCTTGAACAAGAATCTCCCAATTCCATTCAATGGTCTGCCGCACGTCTTCCGGAACATCATGCGTAACTTCACCCGTCAGTTGTAACCTATCAGTCTCGTTTGTGTCCGGGCGATATCTGGTGTACTCCATGACATATTGAGCCGCCACATCAATGGCTCCGTTTTTGGTCAACGTGATGTTCAACGATCTGTCATCGCGGTGAGTGTACACTAGTCCGTTGGGCTGATCGAAATCGATCCTCCCGTCGAGCATCTGCTGGGTCTGGGACCCGCAGACTGCGGTGAAATCAAGGGTCATCTCTACGTGTTCCTCATCACCTGCCGTCGCGGTTTGACCGGCGGCAGGTTTCACCGAACTGAGAGGGCGTTTAGAACGCATTTTGTTGCGCCTGCTGACGGACTGGGAAGCACAACGAGGACGTGCCACAAAATTATCTGCCCAAGCAACCGGTGGACGCCCACGAGGGCTGGGCCCTGTGGCGTCCATAGCGGTGCCCTGGGCAACGGGCAGCCAGGGTGCTGCTCCCGTTTTTGCGTCGCGCAATGTCCGAAGAGTTGGCGCAAAAGTGTTCGTCGCTTGCATGCTGCGTTCCCAGTCAATCCAACCTTCAATGGGTTCGACGTGCGAGTCCATTGCCTGTGGCCATTCAAAGGCAGCCAGAGCGAGACAAGACAAGAGGCGCGGATACTGGTCAATTTCTGTCGCCCAAAGTACGGGCCACCACTCAGAGAGCGGTGGAGCCTGAATCCCTTCTCTCGCAGCCGAATGTGCAAGCCATTTTATGAATCGCCTCTTCAGAGGTTCAAGATACTGAAAGAAGCGGCCGTGGCGCGCCGGCGGCTGGGCCGCGACGTGCTCAGGAACCCAAGCAGGAACACTACCCGGGCGGCTGCTTCCAAAGGTTTGACCCGAAGCAGCCAAGATAAGATGCTGATCATTTGTTGCCCATTTGCGCTCCAGCTTCAGATTGTTGCTTATGTTATTCATTACATCCGCCGAAGCTCTCCGTTGTCGATTTATTCGCTCGCCAACATAACGATCACGCTCCCAAGGCAGCGTCTCAAGATCGTCAAGAAGCAACAAAACGCCATCGTTTCAAAGCGAGTATTGAATGATCTTGTGTCTGTACGACTGAAGCAAATAATCATGGGCAACCATGTCCTTATACTTTACTGGATTACCGCAAGAGGGGCAACGGCCAAAGCCAGTTCGCACCCAGTGCAATCCAGCACAGAGGAACCGACCATCGTCCTCCCAGGGGACAGACAGAATAAATTCGTCTGCCCGTTTAGGCAACGGGTGCCTATATTCTGGGAGCAACGTCAAAGTCTCGTCAGTGTGAATCCAACCGAGCATCGAGGTGTTATCAAAACTTACCTCGTATGAGGTCCACTCCTGATTGAAGACAATTGACCAATCCATTCGCTTTTCGCCGCGATCCCACCAGTCGCTGACTTTGGCAATGGTGACGGCTTTGTCGATATCAGAAAACCTCGGCACCTCACGGGACACGAGTCCCGTCCTGGCAGACCCCGTACGAAAAGCGGGTGAGCACACGGCCATTGAAAACAATCATTAATGGCCAGGACTCTCGGTGAGTCGGAAGCTGGTCCCACAGAAGGACTGTGTCCACTGCGGGCCATGCTCCAATCGATGGAGGCTCTCCTGGCTGTGGGTCACTGTCCATGGCGCGGTGCGTCTTCACAGGAGCAGGCTCCGCATACCTTCGCTGGCTTAGCCAGGAGGGAAAATGGTCTGGGCTTTGCATGCTCGGATCCTTCTTGGTTGGAAGAAGCCTCAACAAATCGTAGTCCGCCTCGAGGCAAAGCCCCGAGTCGCTTTTGGGGAACTGAACTTCTCCGACCATGGATTCCGCCAGCGTCTCCATGTCAGTGATATGGAGGAGGGGCCCATGACACCTGGCTAGGCCCGGGTCATAAGGCACGTACATTCATTCAATTGAAGCAACAAAAGTGGAATGTCCCTGGCACGCTCGATAGAAAACAGGAATGGGGCAGTTAGTCCTCTCCTCCCCTTGAAGGGGCCAGGCTTTGAATTCACGCCACAACTTGTAAACGACCGTCTCCTTGATGCTGGCATCGTCTTCAGGGAGCACACCAAGGACTTCCACAGCCCCCTGCTGCAACGCGGCTAGGCCGTGTGCAGCAAGTGCGCATGTTTGGTATTTAAACCCGTCCTCGTCCATCTTCTCAACCAGCTCAACCAAGTCTCCAAAGTAGACACAGCCTCCCGAGGACCTCGCATAATCAGAACAATGTCTCGCGAGATACGTCGCGAAATCACCAATGCGCTTAGCAAACCCATCTATTCGACAACTTTGGGGTCGCCAAAATTCTGTACAGCCTAGGGCCGCCGGATTCTCACGATCAGTGACCCCCACAACCAATTGGGTCAATACCTTAAAAGACTGAAGATCAAATCCGCTGGGAACATCATCATAGTAAAATTCAGGGCGGAGAAAATTTCGCACTTGCGCAAAAGTGCCCATGTCTGTGGAAAGCTCGCCCAATAGTGCAAATATGGGAACGTGTTAGGAGCAGCGTGACATCAGCACGAAATTAACATATCATCAACCTAAACATCGCAGAACCGCGAAGGAATTGGCATAGAAAACCTATGTCCTTCGTTCGTGCAAGCAGCTAATTCGAGAGAGCGACTGTCTGCCCTCGCTCATGCAAACAGCTAGTGGGCGCAGATTGGGCCCTCAAGGTGTGGAGATCCCAACGATTCCGGCGCCCC